CACGTGTGTCGGGAACATTTGTAAATGAAGATAATGGTCATTTTGTGACGGGGCTTTGTCCCATTCACATCCGGCTCTCGCGCGAGTATTTGCCTGTAAATCAGCCGAGATATGTCTTGTTTTATTTTATAACAATAGCCTAGTACTAAGGGCTAGAGGTTATTTAGTAATTTGTTTCTAGCACTACAAATTTATTTTCAAAAAATTCAACGCTATAATTATGTAAGAGTGCTGATAAGTCCCACAGAAATATTTCAAACTTTTTAATGTAGCCTTAAAAGTTTTAACAGTTAATCATTATAATGAGTGATTTTCAATTTTATTATAACATTTCAATTAGTATAATCATAACCTCTTCAAATTAAGGGTCAATTTTCATCATCTTTTTTTACCACCTATTATGTTCATATCACACACTGCATTCAATAACTGTACATACTGAGTGACTCGTGTTCCTAATAATGAGTGAACTTTAAAATAAAAGACATTTCTGTTTTATTATAATGCTTCAGTTAATTATTATAATGAGCTGTTAATTCAGTTAATTGCTAATATAAACTCTGATAAACTAGCCTTAAAATAAACCAAATGGTAAAATAAGAATGTCTAATTTGAAGAAGAGTCATTATCTTTCTAAGAGTCATCCAGATAATTGAATACATTCTTTTGGTTACATAATCTTGTTACTCAATGAATTGTTCCAGTAAGAGTCACTGGAAGTGATTCATAAGTCAATATATAAAGAAAGCTACTCACATGGAACATCCACTTAGATGATTCTTTGACAGTTCCCAGATACTTCTCAGGAGGGATAATTGTCACAAGAGTCTTTTACTGAGGTTAGCCTTGGACATTTACCAAGAATCCATACTGAGACTGACCATGATATGCAATATTAGTTACAAGGAACCTCATCTGTTCTACGGAGTAAAGATCTTACACTTCATGACAACAGTGGAATATAACGCTTATATATATATATATATATAAAAACAGAGGATGTCTGCGTGTGTCTGCATGATACCTTTTCACTTGAGATCCATCCAACCGATTTTGACCAAACTTGCTTACATTGTACAATGTAAGAGAGGTTCTTAGTGTAAAAACAATCAATAATTTTTAAAAAATCAATAATTGATAAAGCCAATTAAAAATCGATAAATTCAACTTTTTTCTCAGATTTCGTTCAAACTCAATATGTACATTACTTACATCATGACAAACTCAATGATACCTCAATGATATTTATTTCTATGTCACCATGTTTAATGAAAAAACTATGAAAAACAGAAAATTGATTTCAACAAAATTTTAAACTAAAAACTCCCACAATTTTCAAGCAATCTAATACAAACTACACTTAATTGTAGCCAACAATAAGTTGATTGTTTAACAGTCATTTAACTTGATAATTGAGTTCACCCATATAGTGAAAACCCACTTAAATAGCAAAAAATTTTTACTGGTTTCTTTATTTTTTTGTTGATCTTTCAAACCAATTTTCATCAAATTTAACAATTGCTTTATAAATGTATCCTTTTTTAAATCCCTGGTAGCACACTGATAAATGGAATTTCAAAAACTCCAAAATAATTGTGGCCTGTACTGGATCTTCATGTTGCCTGTTTTACTCCTTCATGTTCTCAGTTAACTTTGATTGAATAAATACAGATTACTTCTGTTATATCAGTAACTGCATTAATTAAAAATGTTCTTTTAATGAAAGTACTTAAAGTAATTGAATAAGTTAGACTGTTACATCTAAACATGATGCTATTTTTGTTCCATTCTAATTGAACGCTTTTTCTGATCGACCAGCTGGGTATGGTTGCTAGTTTGTAATACAACACTTGGGCTGATCCATTCTACAGTTGCCTTCCCAATTATATTACACTGCACCTCTTGAATATGGTAATGACTAAACACTTGATAACAATGGTTGTGTTGTAATGAGTATGTTGAGGTTATGAGTAACACCTAACCGACTACTGTCCCACCAACTGCAGAGAGAGGAAAGAGATGGGAGACAGCAAAAACAACACTGCCTCAGAAATTACAGAAATTTGAACAAAAATGCCCATGGGACTGACTTCACAAGACACTGTGTCTTGCCAACTGCTGACTGGTGGTAAACTTTTAGTGGCATGAGTCATCTTACAAAGACCTGGCTCTTGACCAGTTGCAGAGAGGCCTGTATCTTGATATGCCAAACTAGAAAAACCTGTTGGCAAACATGTCCACATGTGATTCAAGATCTCTTTTGCATCTGCACTGATGTGTGTTCATCACAGTTTGGCTCATCATGCTTTATCGTTAAGAGTCATAATTGGAACAGTTTAAGTTTAAAGTCAGCCCACCTGAAAATCAATATTAGTAACAACAATAAGGTACAACTGAGGTGTATCACCAAATGAGGGGTTAACAATTTGAATAGCGTCCTCAATCTTGTTTCAGCCTCACGCACAGCAGCAGTTGAAGAGGCATTTCTCCTCAGCTGTTGAATCCTTTGATCAGCAGTTTCAAGTATGAAAAAGTAAATTAAATTTTGCCTTTGATTTTACCACAAAGTGTAAAAAAAATCAGTTTTTTCAATTTTTCAACTTCATGGTTGTAATTTTTCCCAACCAATCTGGATTCAAAACTGGCACTGAAGAATTATCAACAAACAAAAAAATTTAATCAAAATTGAATGAAAACTGGAAATGCATAAACATCTGATCGCACATACACATACATTTTGTGAATTATAGATACTATTATTGTAATAATTTAAACTATTTATTTTTATTAAAGTTTTTATGAAAGATATATATATCCAAGAACAGATAGTAAATAGTAAAATGTCACTGAGAGTTATAATGGTCAGGAAGTAGTGGAGAGCCATTGTCACCAACAATTTTGACTCAAAACCAGCACTGAAGAATTATCAAACAAAAAAAATTTAATTGAAATTGGATGAAAACTGTGAAAACACACAGAACATCCAATCACACACATTATATATATCAACCATTTTGAGAATTATAGATATAAAGATTAGATAAAAAATGGAGTATTGCTGACATATCTGGGCTGGAATTGCCCAATCCTCACTTTTCATCCTTGACAGAGTTCAAGGTCATTTACCCAGTCATGTAGGGGATGACATATTTTCCACCCTCTAGCCTGTTTTCTACAAACACATCACAAGCCTCTCACTCCTCTATTGCAACTTCCATGGCAAATGTTCAGATGAGCTCCAGAAGTTCATGCGACATCCATAAAGTCAAACCACTTTCTGTATTCCAAATGTAAGGCTAAAGCTCCACATTGTTAGCTTCTTTCCCAAGAGTTGATGCTTTGTGGAACAGAGTCCCATGTGAATGCTTCCCAAACACTATAATCTTAACCTCTTCATGTCAAAGTTCAGTCATTATCTATCAACTATATCTTCATAATCTTCACTTCTTACTTCCTCCTCTTAAATTCATATCATACACCTCATTCTATAATCCTCTAGTTTGAGTGGCTCTTTAGGCTAGTATTGAAGATTAGGTGATTGATTCATTGATTTGTTTTCTATGGCTTATCAACCCTTTCCAATTTATCTAAAGCTAGAAAATATTTTTAGATTTTATGAATTTTTTTGTAGGGTAGATAATGGTTTAGTGATACAAGTCTTACTAATTAACCCATAACTGGGGAGAGAATAAGTGAATTCACACTTTCCCAAGGTGTAAGTGTATATAACAAACCCAATGGGAATTGGAACTTTGCTCTCTGACAATTCTGAGCCATTATCCATTACACCACCTGCACAGCCAAGCTTACAGCACCAGGTATTCCCAAACAGTCACCTATCTAGGTACTGACCAGACTTGATGTTGCTTAACTTTAGTGAACATATAGGAACTGATGTTTCAATGTGATATGACCCTCAAAAAAAAAAAAAAAAAAAAAAAATGAAAAAAATCCTGTATTACCATTTTACTTGGTATGGGCAAAATATATAAGTAATGATTATTGTTAATGAATAAGTTTTTTCTTCCACTTTTTGTTAAGTAATGTATTATGTTTTTTGTTCTAATGTATTTTGTTTAAAAGAAATTTCAGAATGTTTCAAAGATTCAAGCTTCATGATAATCTTTAATCTAAATGAAGTTTGCATTTTTCTTTTAAACAAAAACTAAATAATTTGTCCTTTTGATTAAATTTTTAGAAGAATTGTCTGACTTCTTATCCAGTTCTCAGACATAAAAAGAAAATGTCATTGATGCCACTTTTTGTCTGCCCCATACAGCATGCAAAAAAAAAAAAAGCCCGTTTGTCTATTAAACATCAATAAACCAACACGAGCCATAAAACAATCCATGATAAACATTTGCATAGTTTTACTAAACTCAACAGAAAGAAAACTTTCTTCACTTGTTGGCTCATATTTCCACTTATCAGAATTTAACCTGTTCAGCTTTTGGAAGGCAGCTTGGCTGACCTCTTAAGCAAGTCTATCGGATCTGAAAGTTTGGTTGTGAAATCTGAATAAATTTCACAAATAAGATGTTCTGTTTCTTTTTTCTGTTTCCTTTAGAAACAAATGTTATCAATCCTTTCTCTTTTTCTTCTTTAATCATGACTTTTATGAGAGGCACTGAAAAGTTATCAGCCCAACTGAGAAAAGATGCCAAAAAGATCTGATATATTGTCATTTGGTAAGATTTGGAGAAATAGGAGAGATCTTTTCAGCAATCCTTCATATCAATTGGCCACACCTTTTTTTTGTTTGATTTATTTTTTAATGCTTATCAGCTCTTTGCTGGTTATTTAATGCCAGAAAATATTTTATAGTGTAAGAATTTTTTTGATGGGGTGAAGATAATAATGGTTTAATTTGGTAGAAGAGGTAGATTCATACTTTCCCCAAAGGTATCTGTGTGTAAGTAAAAACAAACCCAACAGGAATTGGAACTTGGCTCTCCGATTAACAACTCCAAGCCATTATCCATTACACCAATGCACATCGAAGCACCTGGTATTTGCAAGCAGTCACCCATCTAGGTACTGACCAGGCCTGATGTTGCTTAACTTCAGTGATCATTTGGGAACCAGTGTTTCAATGTGATATGACCACAAGCCTCTAGGCACACTATTTTTTGCATAAGCTATAATCATGACTTCTCAATGCATGAAACTATTACAAATAATATTTATACACTGTCATGTCACTTTATGACAAAGCTGACAATCATTATAATATTAATAGACATTCTTCAAGATGTGAGCTATCATGGCTCTCCACAATTTCCTATCCTTTAAACCTCTTAGCAATGTTTATCTTTTTACAATCGATTCCACTCATTTTTCTGCCATACATTCACACAAACTTGTTAAGTAGGCTACTTTTTTGTCCCTCTTACCTTCTATGTCTTCTGAGTGTCAAATTTTCCAAGCATTCTTTCCTTGTTGGATCCCAGAAATTTCAACTGTCTCTTCTTAATTCTAAGACTATTTATATTTAAATATATGAAAGATATTTTTCATATTTTTTAATTGATTTCACACTAAACAAGGCAATAAAGCCACTAAGACACAAGAGGTTACTGGGCATGGAAGGATTAGTGTTGTGGATTCCGAGATGAAATTCAGTCTCCAATGAATGACAAATGCAAGAATTAAATATAAGAAATAAAATGTATTTACACAATAATACAAAGAGTAATACTGTTAGTAAATCCAGGAACGTGGTTAGTAGCAATAACATATAGATATATACAGTCTAGAAGTAGGACTTCCTTAGAGTCTATGTGCTTACCTAACTGACTTCTACAAGCGGTTACCTCACACACAGATGTTACTCTACCTCCAACTCAATCACAATCTCAGTTTTCTTACTATCTCAATCTCTGTATTCTGACTGACTCTGGGTATTTAACAGCAGCAGTCCAAGTAACACTTTGGTCAAGTCCACTTATATGAAAAAGGGGAGGACCCTATAACAATTAGAAAACAGATACATTACTAAAGAGCAAGATCAAAAGCAGAGTAATCAAGATGACAGTAGATAATGATCAACATTGCATTCAAATTCTTGAACATTAAAGTTGGCTGGAAAGCATGAAGCTAGAAGGGAGTTACACAAGTGAGAAAAGAAACTGTTAGCATAGAATTTATGTCCCCATCTAGCAACTCAACTGTAAATTGATGAGATCTCGATGCCAATCTAATACTGCAATTAAATTAAAAAAGTCTATGTACCATAGCAAGGAGCTCATCCAAAGAATTACCATGAAAATATTTATAGAAAAGGCAAAGGGAGGCAAGCTTCTTTTTTTTTCTTTTTTTTTTTTAAGCATTATGCCTTGAGCAAGGCGTGAAGCCACTAGGATGCAGGGGTTGCAGAAGATTTGGGGCTTGGAACAGATAGGAGTGATAGAAGAAAGGATGAGGAGAGGGATAGCGGATAGATCAAGGTAACTGGAGATGTCAATTGACATTACATTTGAATAGTTGGAAACATAGCTCTATGGGCAGGGAAACAGTAATAGGGAAGGTGTTTCTACAGGCGAGAGGTGTGAGGTATGAAGCTATTGGAGTAGAAGAAAAAAATATTAGAGAACATGCATTTATATATATATATATATTTAAAAGTTTCTACAGTGAAAGGGTGTGAGGGGATCCCAGCCTTTGTAGGGATTTTGGATAAAAAAAAAAAAAAAAAAAACACTTTTCGCTTGAATTCATGAAGTCTGGAGAACCAGTTGAAAGCAGGTCATTGGAGCAATTACCATGAAAATATTTGTAAAAAAAAAATTCTTGACAGAGAGAGGCAACACATGTCAAAAGGTTGCTGTGGCGTGTCTGTTTGAGAGAGCAGTTTTAGATGAGATGCCAGATCAGGGCCAATTATATTACATATCCGCCTCTGGATCTTGTCAAGAACTCCGAGTACCTCATCAAACAGAAGGTGCACCAGACCATATATGGCATCAATGTTGGTAATATTACTCCATGCAAGGGCAAATGATTGATTTGTATATTTGAAAAATACCAGGAACAAGGGATCGATTCTGGGGAAAAATTTCCTGGCATGGGCACAGAGAGCCAACTTTCCTCATGGTGGACGAACATATAAATATAAAAAAACAATTCGAAAAAAAATCATGTTCTGTTGACTCAATGTATTTGTTCCATCTCAAGTCAACAGTTATAACGTGAGACCGAATATCTTTTTTTTTGCAGAACACAGAGAATTTTTGCTCTCAATAAAAGAAGTTGACTATCAGACATTCTAATGGGGTGCAGGGAAGGATCTCTATGGTGATTAATAGAGAAAGTAGTTTAGTTTTGAGGCGTTAAAGTTGACCAGCCAATTCTTGCCCTAATTAACAACCGGTGGAGGTCCATTTCAAGACAAACATATTTCTCTTTTTTTATTAGGTTAGTTTTGTCAGTGACACTAGATTTGTTTTTTCAGGCAGGAGTAAATTGTAGTGTTGTCCATGTAGATGCCAACATTTTCTCCACAATCTATGGCGTCAGGAAGGATATTGTTGATGAAAATAAGGAATAAAGTGGGGCCAAGAATGGAGCCTTGGGGGAACACCTGTGTTCGTGGGATTTTAGGAACTGGGAGAATCCATTGAGAATGACCTTCAATTCACGGTTTAACAGGAATGATTGTATTAGGTCAAACAATCGACCTGTAATACCATAACCCTGAAGTTTGCAAAGAAGTCCGGCATGCCAAAGTGGTGGTAATGTGACTGAAGCCATGATGCTAGAACAGAGCAAATAATATTGCTGATTCTTCTTTGGATTTTATCAATGAGCTCTAGAAAAATAGCAGGAGCGTGGGACCATATGTGGCAGCAATATTCTCATCATGCATGTGTAGTAGACTTATAGATATGTAAGATAGATTCTGGAGAGGAAAATTGTCTCACTTGACACAGTGAACCAACTTTTTAGCAGCTTTTTCCTAGCAATGGATGTTTTTTTTAAAAAAAGAAATAACTGAAAGGAATAATATATATATATATATATATATATAAAATATTAGGATGGTCAACATGCATATATATATATATATATATAAAATATTTTTCATTTGACATAAAAAAAAAATTTAAGTCAGAAAATTCAAATGGGTTGGGGAATGACTGGTGAAAACGATATACCAAATTGACCTGCAATCAACATATATATATATATATATATAAGATATAAATTTTATGCAAAATCTTTGTTTTTAAACAGAACAGTGTAACCACGGAAACCAAGAGGATAGAATCTTAGAACTCAATGTCCAGGACAGAGTAAGAATATTGGAATTGGAATCATGATCCAATTCATCAGACCCTTCCTGATGAATTGGATTGTGATTCCAATGTAAAAATTATAACCATGGAATATTAAATAAAGTGTTTGAGCCTTTTATATATATATATATATATATATATATTTATTTTTTTTTATATATATATATATATAAAAGCAATATATATTAAAAGCTTTTAATGAATATTATATTGCTTTTTTTACAGCCTGAGAATTGTGTGACTGTAACATTGACCTCCTTTATGTCCACATGAAACTTTGTTGCAGGCAGAATAAAATTTAAGTACTGTTTTTCCATTTTATAATTGAGCACTGTGTCTGTACTGCCTATAAAATTTTGGCATTCAAAAAGACATTCATCAGAATTGGTAAAATATTGGTAAAATCTGAAGTGCACTTAAACAACTTGACAAGATATAGAAATCAGATGTCTGCCCCCAAAGTTAGCCTATTGTATGTTACAGTTGAATACATTCTTGTCTATGGTTCAACAAGTTGAACTTTAACATAATCAATGAAGAAAACATGAAATGGTGCTTCTACTAGAATACTATTGGCTGCCCTTAATATCTTGTGGTATCAACACATGTCAAAATAGGTGCTGTATGGCAAAGTCCTTCTAATCTATAAAATCACACAGTAGTATAGTTTAAGATTTCTGAGACACTGCTAGTGCCATAAAGATGGACAGCTGTGGCAACCAACTAATAGAAAAGTTAAAATGGAAAAAAAAGAGGTAGCTTGGCCCAACACCATAAATTACTAAAAAAACAATACATTAATCTAAAAAAATCATGTTCTTAAATAGCCTCATCAGATTGAGACTTTCATATGGATATTATGCATGGCACCAGACCCATTCAGAAATAGCTATACTGTCAACTGTATACAACTCTTTTCTCAGATCAATGTTTAAAAATGGCTTTGATCAAATGAAACCTGGATGTCTTAGCAAGGACCATTGTTCTTTGAACACTGTGGCCTAGCACTACAGCATCACAAAAAACTATACCAGATAACATAAACCACATCATTTGAGGACTTTCAAAAGCAGTAACAACTGAAATGGATATCACAGGTAACTGAAGAAGAGAAAATAATGACATAAGATGCCGACATTCCATACTACTTCAAACAAAAAGTTAGGAAGGCAACCCCTATTAATATGGGAAAGAGAGATGACAGATACTAGACTTAAGAAATCTGTTTTCCTGGAATTTTTTTTAAAGGAAAGATTTTATAAATTTCAACAGTAGCACTGGCTATTTGGTCAATCAATGCCAGAAGTTTCCATATAAGGAAATGGTTAATATTACCATTATCATATCTTTTATCATATTCATACTAAATAATAATGAACATTCTTTTTGGTATTATTTATATTATTGTCATCATTTTCATTTGTGTGTTAGTTTTTGAAAGTAGGTTAAACTATTGTTTATTATATTCTTAGCTAAAACAAAAAAAAAGCAGAAAACTCAGTTGTATAACAAACATTGTCCTAAAAGAAAATTCTCATCTTTTTTTGTTTTGTAATGTTTCATGCCTTGTGAATGACTTTCTTAAATAAATAAGTTAATTTTATTAACCACCCAGAGAGTGAAATAAGCAAACTCATTTTGGAGAAAAAAAAAAAAAAAAAAAAAACTTTATGAAAACTGTGTTAATGTTGATTCAAGAATCTGGCCTTTTTTTGTATTCAAACTCAAATGTTTAAGCAAAAATATGAGAAAAAAATGGATGTGAATGGTCTGAAGCAATTGCTCAAGGACATCATTGATAATCAGATTAGATGA